TCTGAAGATCTCCTAGGATGGTATTCATGATGGCGACAACGAAACGGAGTGGGGATAGTGCATAGCCTTGGCGCACCCCAACAGAGATGGGGAATTCCATTAAGGCCCCTGCTGACTTTTGCACCAAAGCCTTATCCAATTCTGGGAAGGTGGAATGCAGAGGCTTCCTTTTCCGCGGTATTTTTCTAGCAGTAGACGAGCGCCATGTATTGCATCGATGGCACCACATGCGCTTAGAAATCTACACTGATTCGTGGTGAGCTGCGCAATGTCTCGAATGCTGCGGTTTATAATTCGCTCAAATATCTTCATGCTGCGGGAAAGCATACGAAATAGCTCTGCAGCGACTTGATTCAAGTTCGTCAACCACTCCGCAAGAAACCAGCATGTGACTTCCACAGATTGGTTGACAAGTCGTCAGGTCCAGTTGCTTTACATTTCATCTTTTTAGCGCCGCTTTCTTCCACAGTTATCTCCAACACAGGAGTAGACTGGAGGAGCAGAAAGGTTTGACGAATGTGAGATTTCTACTGTCGAGATTTCTACTGCCCTCTTGCTGTCCATAACGAGCCGTTCTCCTCATCAATCCCAAAAAACTTTTCGATATCCTGGTTTGGCGATGGCGAGCTTTGGGTAGTCTGTAAACGTATCATTCGCCTTCGCGCGTCTCGCGTTTCTCGCTAACGAATTAAGCGGCTTCAATGACAGTCACGGCTCTCTTTGCGGCCTTCTTCGCCTCTTGGTAGTTTTTGCACTTCTCTGCTGTTTTTCGCTGAAACGTAAGATGAAGTCTTTTTTTCTCTCGCACTTGCTCCTCGATAGTGTCAGTCCACAGCCATGTCTGCGATTTTCCGCCGCCCAGGCTTTGTGATGCCAAGTTGAGCGAGCAATACGGACTATCACTTCGCTAGTTTCATCCCACGTTTCTTCGACAGTCGCTATTGTCGGAAGCCGGATGCGAGAAAGAGGCTTTCTTATCCTCTTGTCGCCACCACTTGATCCTTTCAGGCTCATACCGTCCGACTTGCTTCATTTCCGGTGGTGTGATCTTCAGAGTGCAGATCAGCGCTCGATGTTGCATGGCGACCGTCTCGAGTACCGTCTTTGCGTCCATCACCAGCCCTCGGTCACGCTGCCTAACGAGGACTAAGTCAATTTGCGTTCTGGTATCCCCACTGTAGAACGTAATGAGAAGAGAGTCACGCTTGCGATAGTTCGTGTGCACGATGGTGAGATTGTGCGAGCTGCGCACTCAGAAATTCGCTCGCCACCGGCGTTTCGTGACCCATGCCAAACCGCCATGACAGTTGTAACCATCTTTCGTAGCCCCAACGTAACCGATAAGGTCACAGGCGTCAATTAGGGCATCTTGCGATGGAACCTCAGCTGTTTTATCATCTAGCAAAGCCCAGAACTCGTCCTGGGCGCGTTCGGAGCGGTCTGTATGTGGAGCGTACGCGGAGAAAAAGTGGTATTTCCTTTGCTCAGAAGCGACAACGATTTTCACCAAACGGTCATCGTGACGTCGACACTGACAATCGAGTCACGGAACGAGGAACGTTCAGAAACGATCACATCGACATCGCTAGTTGTTCTGGGACTGCCACAAAGAATGGCTTTGAAGCCGCGGCCAATGTACTCCGATTGGCAGCAGCGCCATCTCATTCCCTGCACAGTACAGAAACAGTTCGTCTGCCTCGCAGGAGCGGCCCGTCAGCGTGCATTAAATGTAACGTGGGTCTCCGATACGTTGCAGGGCCCTTGGACTAGCTAGTTGCCCCCCCCCCCGATGCCGTCCTTGCACTGGAAACTCCCGCATACTTCCCACACTCGCCTGGCTTTGCGAGTGCGCATCGGCTCCCGCGGACGCCGTAGCATTATTTCGAGATTCAAATTATGACATGGGCATTTTTGATGTGATGTTGTCCGTTGGCCGGGCTGTCATGATAATCGGCGTGTCATATCGCCTGCATTTCAATGTCCGCGCAGCTCACACAAAAGTGAGCGGTTCCCAGTGGCACTGCTTAGAGGAACGGACCCCACCACCGATTTTCTGATCTGCATCGCGATGCCACTGATGTTACTGACCTTCACGAGTACGACGCCCCATGACCCAGCCTGATAAGTACAACCCCCCTTTCGAGGATTTCCTCGACCGATATTCACCCTGGTCCACAGTGCCCGAGACAAGATTATAAGCTAAGGAGAAATAGGAACGCGGATTAAATCTTGAACGATTCCGTTCGACGGTCAAAGTAAAACATTCTGTTCGCATAGTGCACATAACAAGAAATATGAGCATGTTTGCGTATTCTGACAATATTGTGGTACTCTTGGCGATGAATAAGTATTGCAAATAATGAGGGTATTATCAGTTCTTCAGTATGTGGAGATCCGTAGTTCAAAGGCACTACGCATGGCTTGGCGATTTATATGCGGAAAGGGATGATACAAAGAAACGTGGATGGGTTCTTCATGCTGTTGAGACTGTATTTCGGCGAAGTTTAGGGTTTTTTGTATCTTCCCAGCCACGAGTGTCATTCCAACCAGATCCGGGCTGAAATATCAGGTTGCACAGAATTTTACCGTGGGTGAGTAATATACGACGGTGGGTGTAAAGTTCTAGCAAATTGTCCACGCGTTTACTACCTCTCTGAGTGCTTGTAGCAATGAGTTACTAGTCTTAGCAGTATTCAAAGTCAATACCTAAGAATAACGGGAAAAGAACTATATGTACTGCTCAGCTTTTATCGCTCATTTATTTTTGTGCCAAAAGCAAGTTCGTTTGCTTGCAAGGCGATATGGGATCAGCCAACGGGGCCATACCAACGTGTGGAAATTGCTTGTGATGAAACGTTGGTGGGTTCGGTAAGGACTTTTAGTATAAGACCAACTGCTTTCTTGCGGTCAGAGTTTACATTCTGACCATGTTTAGTGAATTAGGAGAGTGGTAAAGCTCCAAAGCGCTTCAACCGGCGTAGATAACCAGATGTGATGCAGTTGTCTATAGTCTTTTTATGAGGACTTTAGGGCGGGAAATTTAAGGGTTTTAATTTTCTTGAGAATGTCATGCGTTCATCTCAAGTGAAGGGAAGTATGTTACTACTTATTGACCTGTGTGAGTATTCCAACTGGGGGATGTTAGTAGAGTTGAGACTTAAGTTAAGTTTTTTGAAGGTTTCAGTATGGCTCGCGTGTTGGTCGGTTTTATGGGGGGTATGTCACCAGGGCTATGTGTTAGCTTAGGTAGATCTTCGAAACCGTGACTGTGTCTTTGATGCCAAAGTGGAAGGATTAAAGCTTACTTGGAGGCGTGGATGCAGAGTGAAATGGGAAGCACTTACACGTGGTTAGTGTATCCGAATGTGAGCCCACAGTAATCACTAACTGATGTGGGGGCGAGAGAACGTAGGCTTGGGCGATATTCCGATCCAGTAGTCTCCAATACTCCGATAGTCCGTAGGCCTTCTGTATGCGTATGCGAAAGTTACAACATTATTTCTTAATTTGTCGCATTCCCAATGGTCTACCGTGTGTTTTTTTCCGAACTTCGTATGAATCATCATAATTGTCACTGTTTACGTTATATATCCTAATTGGAATGAGCTAGGGCTGGGAATTTTGGACAGTATATTTTAGCCCGGAGACATCCACGATTATTTTCATTTCCAAACTCGCGCGCATGAGGCTGGTTCCACAAAGTAAAAGGTGTGTCTGCCGTCTTCTTGAAGGTAGTGGGTGCTTCTTGGAACTTTTGACGGACCAGCTGTAGGGGAGGGACTCGGAAACATCCATACAACTAAACAAATTACCTTGCATTCTTAAGTCAAAATAATTCCTATCTTGTGACTAAATCTTGAACCTAATGACTACTTCAAGACTCGAGCGTGAGATAGGATGCCTCTAGTGCACTTGCAGACAGAATGTTTTATTTCACGTCGACAGAATCGTTCCAAGATTTATCCGCGTTCGAACATAGGATGTATACCGTAACCCACGTTTGCGTCACAGCGCGGTTGCAGGCTTTCCAGTGCACAATGCCAGCCCTAGTGTGAGAGCGATCAATGACGCCGCCCCTGTTGTTCAGGGCGACCATGGAGCGACGTCGTAACGTTCGCCTCGCCGCTTGTGCGACGAGGCCGAACACCGTCGCTGCGTTCGCTTCGCCGCTCGCGCGGCGAGGCTGAACGCTGCGCGCGCTCTGCGCGCGAGGTGCCACCTCATCCGACGTGGGGGCGACAGTGGTTTGCGATACATCCTCCACCTTCTACATAAATGGCGCTTAGTACTTTGCGCGTGCCTGCTCGACGCATTCTCTCTCCGTTGAGAGGGCGCAGAGTAAACGAGAAAATCGATGACACGTTCAAGTGAGAATGCGCGCCCCAGTGCAACGTCGAGAAGGTTACGGTATACACCCTATGTTCCTGAACTTAATCTTGCGTTCTCGAGAACTGTTGGTGGTGCATTTGCAAATATAATACATATACCCGCACAGTTCGCGGGCTCTACTGACTCGGCCGCCCTCGCAGCAGCCGCGCTCCAAATCGTGAAGAAAGTGGGGGGCCAGGGTAACTTTGCAATTATGTAACGCATGTAATTGTAATGGATTGTATGGACACTGGAGTAGTGTAATATGTTCGTTCGATTAATTTCGTTTTTATAAACCTTGTTTCGCTTCAGATTTTGGTCGAGCAATGTGAGATCACCTGCCAAGCTTTTGCACTGTGCGTTTGCTGTGGTTATTGGATCATCACTGTTCAGCGTTAGCATTGTAAGCTTACCATTTCGTGCGTTCCCATCACAAAAAAAAACATTAGTTTAGGTCCCATTCACTGTAATTGACGAAGGTGTATACGACAGTATTCCCAAGGTATTAACAAAATTCTACTATCAAATTGATCCATATCAGATTGTCAATCCTTACGGATTGTTCAGATCGTATGTCTTTGTATTACTCTAGCATTCACCTATTCTTTCACTGCTTCGGAACCTATTACAGAATGACCGGTTTGAACGGTCGACCTGAGGTTATTGTGGAAGGAGCTCCTGATCCTGATGGTCCATGGAAAGAGTTCGAGTTTTATTCAAAACCTGGGAATGTTTCTCAAGCCCCTGTTTTCGTTTGTAAGTTTTCCTACATCTCTTTTTTAGTTTCCTAGCTTCAGCAGTACTGCTCTTTAGTGCCACATCAACCACGATTGGACTGGCAGATGTGGTTTGCGGCTTTAGGCTCATATCGCTACAACCCGTTTTTCTTGAGCTTGGTTCATCACTTGATGGAAGGTACCCCTGAAGGTTCGGTTTACTTAGTGGCATTTTCTTGTTTCTGTCACTGCTCACCAATCAATCCTTATTTTCTACAATAACGAAATGGAATTCCGTACTAGGAAGTACCTTGCGAGGCTGATATACGTGCAAGTAGAGGTCATGCGGAACAGGCTCTCAAACTTGCAATATATTCAAAAGCGAGAATCCATTTTATCTGAGATGACAGCCAGAATCTACTTCAGAATAGCAGGCTTTTCTAACCTGCCTTTAAAACGAGTTATGCGATCTTGGGAGCGAGCGGTTGAAACAAACCATCAAGGAATATGCGATTATTCCAGTGTCCAAGAACTCGCAGCTCCTTTATTACGTAATTTTCATGGAAATACAACCACTTCGATCAAAAAATATATATCCATCATTAGGTCGCTTGTCGTTTTCCCACCGATAAATACTCTCCCTTGTTTGAAAATCACACGAAGAACTGTCTGAATCTGGACGAAGAGCCCTTTGATCTGTGTACTTTGATTTACCGTGAAAAATGATGTGGGTGATTGTTAAAAACAGCCATATCGTCTGTCAATTTTCGATGCAACTTTTACAGGGTGGGCCAAAATTATGAGGACCAGGACATGGTCACGTTAAAAACGCATGGTAGATTTATGGAACAAACAAACTTCAGAGAAGTGTTTGCAGCTCGTCATCTCGAAGTGATTCCGGAATAGAATTGAGATTGTCACCTGCCGCGTTTATATGAGCTTTCAGATGAAGAGGTATGACGCGTGCGGTGGCACGCAACTATGGCGTGTCAAAATGTTTTACGGGCTTCTGCTCTGCTTTCTTCAATAGATCAAAGTTTAAAGAGGCGTTAATTTGCTCTCCCCTCCGGGTGTAAATACAGAAATGTGGAGCTATTAGGCGAAAGATTCCATTGTAACAATTCTTCGAAACAAACGAACTCGAAAAATCGCTTCAGAGGGCTTTCGATTTGTTCTTGTGCGCACGGTCCTGTGAAAAGTCTCAAGTAGACTACTCAAGCGCCTTCCTATCCACCAGAGATGTGTAGTCTTAAGGGTGCCTGACTAGGTTTTCACATCAATTTTTTTTCATTTTGGGAGTATGAAAATCTACATGGAGGGACCTAGTTCCTGCATCTGATAATTATCCTGGTGCTAACTGTAACTTTTGAGTCTCCGAATTTTCCATCTGTGGTGGTCGCAAACTTGCTGGGGAGTTGAACTGTGGCCCATAAGAGCTTCCCTGATACGTTAGACTGCCGCTAGATGTAACGTGCCAAAGTCATTAGTGAGTTCGATTTGAGGGCTGAGGTAAGGAGACGTTGTTATTCCACAGAAGTGCATGGTATTTGGTTTCAATAGGAAGAAGACATTGTACGCTCTCACATAGTGCACAGAAGTGGAGATGAAAATGAAGCGAATCGTTAAGAAGTGAATATGACCGCACGGGCACGTGGTCCTCATAATTTCGGACCACCCTGTACATACTGTGGAAGTACAACTGAAAGAAAGCTCACGTAGGTGTCTCACGATAAAGCTATGTGAAACTCAAAGATATGAATGGTAAACAACAGCTTTCCTGACAATTTCTAGCCCCTAACAACTGGTATGCCCTCTCAGTGATGTATTGGCCACACAATATCATCGCAGAAGGCTCCTCAGTGAGCTACTCTTCATCTGAATACGCGTTCTGGTAGAGCAGCACCTTGGGAAAGACTGACGAAGGCCCGCACGCGTTTGAAACATTCAAAGAATGGCGTTCATTACAGCCACCTTTGCAGCTTTTCGCTTCTTTTTTAACACATTCACGACGACGCCCCTTTTCCACTTTTCGGTCGCGTGGGACGGACGCGATTTCGTGGGCGCCGCCACCTCACCACATAACCGCAGATTTTGTTTTGTAAATAAACAAAAACATAAACGTCGTAAAATAATTCCTGCAATGTCCAATGCGTAAAGATTATCTAAACGTATAACAGTAGGATTTTAATCAGAACGGCAAATAGTGCTTACGAAAAGAGAGCATTGATTCACTTTCCCCATGAAGGAATTTGAAAACATTTTACACTCGACTACGAGGTTTGCCCACCTATCTGTCCATTCCTAGCGCCTAGCAAGCGATTATCAGTTGGCAGCCCATATGGGCTGCCAACCTCCCAGGAGCGCGTGTTATTGGCAGCCCATATGGGCGGCCATCGGTGTGAATGTGTTAAATTTTAGGAAACCATGTACTCGGGCCTTCTAGAAACTAAACACGTCGGTCGGCTTGAGTCAGCATCGCCCAGCAGGTCATACGTGCGTACCAAAAGTATGTGGACACAGGTCAACCTTGCGTTCCGCAGATTTCAAGATTTTTACGACCCCAGTATTTCGGGGGGAGGGGGTATCTGCACGACCAGCGCTGCATTAGCCATTGTGTCCCTTTGCATATTTTAGGTCCATGATCGACCGACATGGAGACAGTGGTAAGCCCGCGCGCTTTCCCTCGCTCAGAGGACGGGGATCGAGACAATGTGAAATTTTGCTCATTAAATGAAACCAATCTCCATTTTTTTGTGTCAAACTAGGCATGGCAGTAATCGCGGAGACTTCCATCTTCAGAAAACAACCAAGTTTTTTTTAGAACTTGCAAATCTTCTTTTTTTCAGATTAAATGATTAAATGCAACTTTTATGGATACACCTCTCCAATCAAAAGCTTATATCTCTCTTCAAAGCGGTTTCATGAGATGGGATATAACAATCTAGAAACTCAAATTGTTGTCTTTCTAAGGAGATTTTAAACATACGTCAATGTTCAATTCTTCAGAAAATCGTCCCGTTGTTCCGTTTTTGTGCACACGCGAGTTTTAACATCGAAACTTTTATTAAAGGATAAAAGGATAAAGCATTTGCCGTTGATCAATCCCTTTTTGAGATGCGGCACGCATTCTACTTCCATTTGTACATTCGCAGTGGCATTTGAATGCGATGTGGCCTATACAATGACTTGCGGGGGCCAGCCGATGTTCAAGTCAGTGTTTTTTATCCTCCCAGACAAGTCTGGTACCAATTAACCGACCCCGGAGGGATGGAAGGCTTTTGGCCCGGGCGACTCACGACCCAGGAATTGATCCCTGACCGCTCGCGTGGTGAGCGCGCCACTTGTCACTGCACCACTTCCGCCCGAAACTTTTATTACTTCCTTCATTATCAACTTCTTGCAGATTTTCAAAGCTGTTTGGAATTTAAAAGATTAGCGCTTCCAAAAATATACCAGACATTCTTACAAGAATCACTTTCTTCAGAAATACTCCCATTGTTCCGTTTTCAAGGGGTTTGTGGTCCGACTTTGAGAACGCGCGATTTTTCGTCATTCGAACGCTCAGACCTTCCTTCATTATTTACTTTTTGCTAACTTTCAAATCTAATTAAAATCAGAAGATTCACCCTTTTAAAAATATCAAGACTTTTCCAAATTACCGCTCTTTCGAGAAATCTTCCCGTTGTTCCACTTTTTCCTCAACGGCTTTTTAGCCCATTCTCTTGAAACGCGACTTTTCAACATTCAAATGACCATAGGTTTCCTCAAAGTCGGTACATTAAGAAGCGGTAAAGGCTACTGAAATCAGAAAGATCAGTAATATATAGCAGAGCTAGAATATCTTGGACGGGAAATTTTTCCTGGTTTTTCTTACAAGGAGGGTCTTTCAGGGAAAGGTGCCCTTTTCAAAACGGCTTTGTGCATATTGTAGTGACGCATGTAGGGAACGCAAAACCATGTTTCATTTTTGCTGAACGGTTATAGCAGTACAAAAAAGAAGCATAAGGTACGATTAAGAGTTCGATGCCCCGTGGCGACCAAATTTTGCATTCGGGTTGGTGTCTACGGTTTGGTGCCAATTCGCGCTAAATATCAAAATCAGATGTCGAATTCATCGTCAGGACCATTTTGAAGCCAACAAGTGGACGCCAACCTTGATTGCAACATTTGGTCGCCGCGGAGGATTGAGCCATCAAGAGTATTGTTCACCACTTTTCTGATACTACTAAAACCGTTCAGCGAAACGGAACCTGGTTTTGTGGTCCATACATGCGTTCCTACAACATGTACTAACCTTGCCCTGAAAGACCTTCCTTGTTAGTACTCCAAAGATCAATCAAACGAATTTGCTGCACTTTCCTCCACTTTGATTAATCCTAAAAGCAAGTGAGTTTTTCTATAATTATTTTTCGCTTGTGCTTACTGGAACATGACGTATTTTAGTAGAGAAAATCTCGCTCTAGGATGCGCCATTCAATTGTCTGTGGTGCGTAGTCGCAGTGACAGCTGAAAGTCTGTCCTCCTTTGCCACTTATTAGTCACACCTCGGCAGCTTCTGATTTTGCGAATAGTACTTGAATTTATGACCCCTCTCTTCCATTGCCATCGTTGTTCTTTGCTTAACAGACGGTTGATCCTGTTCGCACCCTCCCTTTCAGAAAACTAGAAGAGCGCGCAAACCATCATCACAAGTAACGGAGGCGTCCAAGTAAATCTGGTTAGTAGTGGTTTATTTTTGTAGCTGATTTTTGGTAAATAGTAGTTGTATTAATGGAAACTACAGAATACAACTGCAACAGACAAATATTTTATTGGCAGGAAGCATTTGCATTTTGTGGAGGCGGTCGTCACTGGATGTCGGACCCGACGCTTTTCTCATTTTTTAAAGTCACTATACCAGTTCTTCACAATAAAGCTTCCCTTGGAAGTGAATCAATTATCAAAGTAGAGTGTCTAAATAAAAATGTCTCGACCTGCGAAATTTTCTGTTAGTCTTCCAGTGTTAGTTTGATTGTCACTTCGTGCAAAGTGAGATATGTTTTTTTCTGAGGGTGTCGCTAATCTTATTTATTTATGAACTTTCATGAGTTTCTCTAAGTATGATGGCACGTTTACGAATTCTTCGAGGCCCTAAAGCTGAGTATGAATTTGCGTTTTCGTTATGTCGTCTATCTCGCTATTTTGAACTTCTCTGCATTACTCTAATTAAGATGTTATGTAATGTTGCTGCAACTCAGCAGTCAGCGCATCCAATT